TCAGTAGAAGGCCCTCTCCACGAGAGCCAACGTTCTGTGAATACCTGGGTGTCCAGCCCAAAGGGAATCGTGACACTCTTTTAAAAGTTCACGCCTTAAATTGTCCACTCGGGGAACATAAACCCTATTCCCTTTTGTGTAAACAAGTCCCTCCTGGACCCAAAATCGTCGTGCCTTGCCTTCTTTGATGAGTTGCATCAGAATAACTGCCTGGGGATCACTATACAGCCCATCCTTGATTCGGGAAAGGAAGTTGGAGTGTAATTGACTTGCTTGGCCTCTGCCCTCCAGTTGTGCAGCATTCACGCATTCCACTTTCCGACTCAGCGCATCGGCCACGACATTCGCCTTCGCAGGCTTGTACTCCATTGCCCTATCAAATTCAGCCAGGAAGTCCTGCCACCGTGCCTGCTTTGGGGAGAGCTTCTTCTGAGTTTGGAAATAGCTCAGGGCGATGTTGTCTGTCCTCAGCACAAATCGCGACCCGAGGAGGTAGTGTCGCCAAACTCGTAGACAGTGGATCATTGCTGTCATCTCCTTCTCATGCACTGGGTACCGCCTCTCGGTCTCGTTGAGTTTGCGGCTCTCGTAGGCCACCGGATGACCTTCCTGCATGAGTACTCCCCCAATAGCGAAGTCCGAAGCATCTGTATGGACTTCAAAGGGCTCTCCATAGTTTGGCAATTTGAGTACTGGTTCTTCTAGAACAGCAGCCTTCAGATCTTGGAATGCTATCTCACATTTGTCAGACCATTTCCAAGGCTGCTCCTTCTTCAGCAACTCCGTCAGTGGGGTTGCCCGCTTCGAGTATCCCGCAATGAAGCGTCGATAGTAGTTGACGAAACCAAGGAAGGATCTCAACTCTGGCACCTTCTTTGGAGTTCGCCATTTCGCAACCGCTTGCACCTTCGACTTATCCATCCGAATGGAGCCATCACCGATTCGATGCCCCAAGAATAGGATCTCAGTTTGAGCAAAGTAGCATTTCTCCCTTTTTACGAATAAAGTGTTCTCCCGGAGAACCTTGAAAATCGTCCGAAGGTACTTGACATGCTCCTCGAGCGTTTGGCTTTAGACGACGATATCGTCCAAGTAGACGACCACGAACTTATCCAAATACTCCTTGAATAGCTGGTTCATGAGAGTACAAAATGTGGTCGGAGCGTTGGTTAAGCCGAAAGGCATCACCAAGAACTCAAACGCTTCATACCTGGTCACACAGGTAGTCTTCACTTCGTCGCCTTCAGCAATGCGCACCTGCCAATACCCCGACCGAAGGTCGAGTTTTGAGAAATACTTGGCCTTGCCCAGTTGGTCGAACAAGTCCGCGATGAGCGGGATGGGATACTTGTTCTTCACTGTTACTTTGTTGAGGGCTCGATAGTCGACGCATAATCGGAGGCTCCCATCTTGTTTCTTCTGGAAGAGAACTGGAGCTCCGAAAGGTGCTTTAGAGCTGCGGATGAGACCACCGCTTAGCAGTTCACCTAACTGCTTCCTGAGTTCTGCCAACTCTGGCGGGGGCATGCGGTAGGGTGGTCTCGCTGGAGGCTTCACTCCTAGCTCCAGCTCGATACTGTGATCCACGCCTCTGCGTGGAGGGAGAGTCTTCGGCAACTCGGGTGGCATAGCGTCTTTGAACTCTTTTAGGACGTTCGCCACCACAGCAGGTTCATGAATGGCCTCCTCGTTGAGTGGCTCTAGCTTCATAGTAGCCACGAATGTCAATTCGCCTTTTCGCACCCCTTTCTTCAATTGTAATGCCGAAATGTGTTGGGGCTCCTTAGTTCCTCTCCGAGAGACGGGAACCACGCAGGGGTCATCGCCTCCCATCATACATAGGGAGTTCAAGAATGGCATCGGCACCAACTTTGCCGCATGCATAAATTCCATTCCGTGAATCACTTGGAAGTCGTCCAGTGGCACGGCCATCATGTTGGTGTTTCCGCTCCAAGTCCCGATTTTGAAAGGAACACCCTTCGCCAACCCGGAGATTCGCTTGGCCTCCGAGTTCACCGCCTTCATTCGGCTTGGGCTCTTCTCCAAGGTCAACCCAAGTCGCTGTGCTTCGCGATCGGCTATGAAGTTGTGGGTAGCGCCCGTATCCACCATTGCACGGGTCGTTTGGCCATTTAGCTTGATGTCCACATACATCAGCTCACTACTTCCTGCTTTTTGTGCCTTCGTCTTCATGTTCTCCCCCACTTGACCCCGCATAGCGTTCAACAAACGCATTGCTCCCATTCGGGGTCCTTGCGACTCCTCGTCGTCGCTGCTGGATTCCGAACTGCTCGAACTAAGAGCAACAGCTTTGCCCTTGTCCGATCGGGGAGGGTGGATGGAATCCGTCAAAGCATTGAGTGCCTGTTTCTGTGGGCACTCCCTTACCATGTGCGGTCCTCCGCACAAGAAGCATCCTCCAGGTTTTGAGGCATTGCCTTTTGGGTTCGGCTCTTTGTGGGAGCTCTTCTTCTTTTGTTCGCCCCCGAAATCCTTCCCTCGAGAATGTTTTGGAGGGCGATTGCCTGAAGATTGTTTCCTTCTCGCTGGGTCTTCAGAGGAAACAAAGTCGGTGAGCCTTTCTGCAGTAGCAATTGCCCCGACCACATCGGTAACATTCCTTCGATTTAGCTCCTGTTGAGCCCATGGTTTCAAACCATCGAGGAAGCTGAACAACTTGTCCTTCTCAGACATGTCCTGTATGTCCAACATTAGTGCAGAAAACTGTTTCACATAGTCTCGGATGGTGGTGCTTTGGCGGAGTTGTCTCAACTTCCTTCTTGCGACGAACTCTATGTTCTCCGGTAGGAACTGAGTTCTCAACTCCCGCTTCAAGCCCTCCCATGTGTCGACTCGACACCGACCTTATTGGATCTCTTCCCAACGAGTTCGCCACCAAAGTTTCGCATCTCCGTTCAGATACATTGTTGCTATAGAAACTTTGGTATCTTCAGAATCGGGCCTCGTAGCTCGGAAGTATTGCTCCATGTCGAACAAAAAGTTCTCGAGCTCCTTGGCATCTCTGGCCCCTCCATATCCATGAGGCTCAAGTGCCCTTAAGTTTTGTGGCGGTGCAACGCGGGTGTTGCCTCCTCCCGCATTTAGTGTTCTTGTGAGCATAGCCACCTTTGCAGTGAGTTCCGCCACAACATCCTGTAAGTGTTGCACGGAGTCTTTGGTGTCATCCGACAGTCGGTCGACTAGGGCCTCGACCTTGTCGATCCTAGACTCCGCTTCCTCTTGTGAGCTCTCTACCCCAACAAGTCTTTGTTGGTCATGGTAGAGTTCCTCCATGCTCGCTTCAAGAACATCCAGGCGGGTTTCCGCCGTCGTGAGTCTCTCCTTATGACTCTTTTTCCCAGTTAGCGCACTAGATTGTGCTTCCTCCGCTCGCGGAGAGTGGCCAACTTCTCGCTCATCCTGTTCGCTGCCGCGCTCCTCTTGAGCGGCTCCAACAGCATGAGAGCGAGTGTGAACGTGCAGCCCACCTGCGGCTGCTTGGGGCAAGGGTCCGGCTTGCCCCGTCTTGCTTGATTCGCCACGATGCTTTGCCATGGCGAAGTTACGAAGTTCGTTCGCTGTTCGATCGAAGAGCTTGCCCGCTCTGATACCACAATGTCACGACCTTAGCTGGAATTGCCTAAGGCGTGAGGCACCCTTGCGGCCAAAGACGCGAACTTAGCTTGCGTCGCCTAAGTCGCGAGTCACCCTTGTGGCAAAGACGCAAACTTAGCTTGCGTTGCCTAAGTCACGCTTCGCCCTTGCGATATTGCTCCGCAAGGATCAGCCCACTTTGTAACCTCTCGCAAGTCCCGAAGGACCTGTAAAAGAGAAAGAGAGTTAGTTCGAAAGAACGAGCAACGGACAAGTCCCGAAGTCTAGCGAAAAGGGAAGCTTTACAAGCAATTCGACGAACACCTTATGTGCACAAGAGAAAAGAGGGAGAGGGGGAAAAACAAGGCTTTCAAGGATGAACGAACAGCTGCAAGCCCACAAACAGCCGCTCACCTGGTCCCGGGCGCGAAGACAAGTTCCCGTAAAGGTCACATGCGAACTTGCGAAAGAGATCTCAACGCCCGGTATATAACCGAAGCCCCATCCAGCCCTGTGCCACCCGGGGGGTTCCTGGGGTCTGAGATGGCTGACATTTTGGTGAGCGGAGGCAGTTCTTCGCTCACCTCCCGCGGCACGCGAAAATGGAGCTGTTTTGGGCTGTTTTGGGGCTGTTTTGCTCGGTTCGGTGAGCGGTCGCTTTGCAACGCTGCAGCTTGTTCGAACTTACATATTTACAAGCAAAATGACCCAAAACCAAGAGAAAACATGCTGCCAAGCAGCTGTACATGCAGGTGTGAGCAACGAACGGTTCGTTGAACGGAGTTGTTGCGGGTGCGCGACGACCGTTCGTGACAGCCCGGTACGGGCGGTACGTACCGGTCCAATAGGTTTTCGGTACGCGGACCGACTGTTACCGGTCCGAGGCACTGTAGCACTGTAGCAGTACTACATTGCTACAGTACTCGGTACACCTGGGTGTACCGCTCGGTATACCGTACCGTACCGGTACCGAGCCCAGGTCGAAATACCGGTACGGTACGGTATTGCAGACCCTGCTCATAATAGCTACAAAACTAGATACACAAATTCATATATGCAAGGCACCAGAAGCTCGCGTACAACCACATATATACCAATATCTTCGCAGCAATCTAGATCCGAAGGTGGTGCTCACCAGGATGGGCTAGCATGATAATACTTTGTTTGATTAATATAAATTCAACAAAAGCAAATGATCATTAATAATGTACATTTTTTTGTCTGCAAAGTCATTATGAGATAAAAAAATGAAATGGATTCTATCAACAAAAGAATATTAATCCCAGTGAATCTCATATCAAAACATATACGACATATTAAAAAGATCAATTTTTGAGGCAAAATTTCATTAAAAATTAATGTATGTGCAATTTAGAATCATCTTTGCTTATTCCGAATACCTACCTCAACATCATGTAGTAGAATGGAACCATCTTCAAGGCCAAGAGCAATAACTTTGCCATCTGGACGCCAACAAAGTGACGTAATGCACTTGCCTAAATAGAATCGATGTGTATTAATAAATTCAATCAAACATTGTAATACATCTTATCCATAGGCATATGCCCAAAAATATTTTTTCCAAAAGTAACCATGATTCAAAGGATTAGCCATCTGGGATGCACATGCACAAAAAGAGAGGGAGGGTTAGAATCACAATACTTGGTAAGAGAATCAACATGGTAAAGATCAGCATGAATCAACTGATCTATTTTGATCCGTGGAAATCAGTCACTATCAAGTAACCTTTGGCTAGATCATCCGGAACTAATTATTTTTTTCACTGGATTAATCAAGGATTAAGCAAATCTCTAACTATATGGCCAAGAAACTGGGAATTCGATCAGTCTCTAGTCAATTAAGCAATCTATCCCATTTGTATCTATATATACCAATTCAGGTAAGATCAAGCCAAAGCCTTGTGAAATCAGCAAATGGATATATCCAACACTATCACATCACAACCGAAAATGATATGCAGATCACTAATATCAGCTTCCCCTCCAGAATACTCTTTCACATTCCTTTGCCTAGGGGAACCTGGTCTGACTTATTTACCTTGGAGCCAACCATGGAGTCAGGTCGCTTGTTGAGGCGACTAAAAAATGTTTGAACGGTCCATTTTAACCTCCCATAGGTACAGTGAATTTGATCTTAACAATCACCTTGATTTGGCAATAGAAGTTTGTAGCTAGCTCTAATGACTATCAAAACAGGGATGTTGAGGGTAAAACTTTATCTTTGTTTGCTAGTAGTCCCAAGATGTGAACAGAGTCTGCACAACCACCAATCTTATCCAGCAGCCAGGCCCATGAAAGGAAGACGAGGAGAAGAAAATCCCATCCAATGTAAGCACCCATCACCTATTAGCAGCAACTACATCTAAATTTCAACAATCACATCATACAAGCTGGCAACCTAACTTACACCTAGAAGAAGCAAAAGGCATTCAGAGAGAGATAACAAGGGCCAACACAAGTGACTCAAATCAACATGTTTTTACATGTTGATTTGTCACATAAGGAACAAGGAGCACCTGTTAAATGATCAAATATTGCTTAACTAGATAAGGCATTAGCATGAGAGATTTAACATTATGCCAGATAGGAAATATAACAAATCACAGATGAGGATGCTAATGAGGATGGTGACAGAAAAGTTAATGTTGGCAAGAACACACATGACATCATATTTTCAGATCGCACATGGCAAAATGAATACGGAGTGTCATTGGAAGAACTTTTAGATCGCACAAGCCACTAATACAGTCATCCAAATGAATATTCCTATTCTCTTACGGAGTATAATCCATTATATAATCATTAGTTCTTGAAGTCAAAGAAATGGAAAAAGAAATGTGTTACTTAGCATATACTCTGAGGAATATACAGCACTCCTTAGTCATTATCCAATACCAGTGCATAAGCTTCCATCTCCATCTTTTTGTAACATCTTTTGTTTATTGTGTTTAAATAAATAGTAGTTATAAATAAAGTGTCAATTCATTGACTCATCCAATTATCTAGCTGTAATTTCATTTGAATCTTCAAATCAATGTTAAATTTTCAAAATGAAAATAGATTTACTTACGAAATGAATGTTAAAACGAAAACAAAATATGTTTAGTTTAATGCATGGACTTAAAAGCACAGACACACCTGTTATGGATTTTTCTTGTACTGATTATGAATCCTATAGCTCAAAACAAATCTTTTCAGAGGCTCCATCCATAAAGGTATTCAAATTTGTCTTGAAAAAAATTAGGAAGAGAAGCACCTAGGACTGCATTAATTTGGAAAAAATATGAATTTTAAAAAGTCACAGTAAATAATAGAGCATCCTCTAGAATGGAGCATAAATGATTCAGAATTCACATAAACAAAAAGAAATAGTAGGGACATGGGACAGGGCTGATTATATATTATCATAGTGTCTGAATCAGACCAACAATACCCCAAGTTTCACTTCAAAATTAAATGGTCCCATGCTTCCAGCGATCAGACCTACTATACCCAAAGTTACACTTCAAAATCAAATGGTTCTTAAACACTTCACCTGGATAAAGCACATTATAACCAACATTACATGGACATATGTACAGCTCTCATGTGTGTGTCCATGTCCAGGTATCAGGTCCTTTTAACTAACTAAAAATTCTACTTATAATTGCATCAACAAGTGTCACATTCATGTTGCATCATGTCAGTATAAATACTTGTCATCAAAAGGCGATTGTCCATGTCAAGGCTGACTTCTACATTGACAATTATTAAACCTAAAAGGAAAAAAAGAGGACAATGGCAGTGAGGCAATTGCAAACGGCATAGATCATTAAATATAAACAAGCACAGGATATTCTTTGATGCAAGATCATTGGACTTTCACCAAACTTGAGTAAAAATTTGACAAAGGCAAAAGTTCAAAGGAATACAAACTCTACTTATATGGGTTCACTTCTTTAAATTAATTTGCTTTCATAGCCTGAGTTCACCAAAGAACATCTGCATTCTGCAATACTACATGATTACCTGACTTAACCTCCCCAAAAACCAGGTTCCTCATTTTTCTCTAATGAAACTTTGCTAGATGAGATTCAATGAGAGACCCAAAAAGAAATGATTCAGAGATTCCAGCAAGGGCTTATAGCTAGATTGTGACAGACTAACCATTGAGACTCAAGTAAATTAGTTATTCTGATCTGGTTAATTTATGTGCACAGTAAACCAAACACTGAAGGACAGTTATTCAACTAGGACCAAATCAGCCAGTCAGACTGAATAACCAGAAACCAACCCTTGGCTTGTCCAGATTGTTTGTTGGATCATTTTTAATCCATGCTAACTATAATCCCCTTAAATACATTCTTCTATTTACCTTTTGAGGTTATTTTAGTCTTTCTAGGAAGAAAAAATTTCATTGTTTTCTCTAAGTGTGCATTACCTGACCTTTCTATAACTGCCCCTTCTATCATCCTCTCTGTCCTTTCATATAATCATCCTCTCATCGTTGTCCTCTTTCACTCGTTTGTTATTGTCCTCTTTTTCTTACCTTTTATTTGCCTCTCTCATCACCACTCTAACTCTCTCTTTGGTTCATGTTACTCTTTCACCATCATTGTAACACCTCGATTAGTCCCACATCGGAAGTGGACAAGACTAAGATTGACTTATGAGAATCTGATGAGTGTACTACTATCAATTTCAGATTAGGTATTTTGGACAGTGATTTGGGCCAAACGAAGTTGATAGGTTAGTTAACCCATCAGGCCCGAGTTATGATATTTGGTATCAGAACCGACCTAGTATTTAGGCATTGTAAGAGGGCTTTCGAATAGAAAAGAGCTACCCGTGGATGACAATCTTTCATTTTCTCTTTCTCTTATCATCTCATGTCATAAGCTGCCTATCTATTTTTGTCATACAACTTATTTGAGTTTGCATTTTTATTTTTTGGTACTCAAATTTCTTGAATTAATCCAACAATGATTATCTTATGATTTTTAATATATTTTCTTATAAAAATAAATCTATATTTTTTATGCAATTTATATGTATAATTTATTTTTATTTTTTTTTTATACAGAATCTATGGTTCAACTGCTTGAGCCACTGGTTCAACCAGTGAACTTGTGACCCAAGCCTTAGTTGGATCAATGTTCGGCCCAGATTTGATAACTGTGTTGACGGATGTCCAATCTATGACACTTTGGCAAGACCACAGTTCGCAAATCTCAATTTGCTCAAGATAAACGAACACAATATTTTGTCATTTTCATATAATTTGCTCAAGATAATTGCCATGCACAGGTAAAATACATGCTATGCATGGATGGAGATGAAGGCAACGCATGATTCTTGTATGCAGAATCAAAATAAAATGAAGAAATAGTTGTGACTGAGGTAACCCTCAAAATAATTAACTACTAAGAAGCTTCATTTCATAAGAAAATGAAATAGGTGAACAAAAAGAAACCCACTAGAAGGGGGTTGAAAGCACAAGTTATTTTGAGAAAAAAAATTGGGATTTCCAAAGATGTTTGACTAAATAGTTGTTATAACAGAAAATAAGGTGGGCTATCAAGATTTTCCTAGTCTTACACATTACAAAAACACTTACTTCCAAAGAAGTCACTTAAAATGCTATTATGTAAAGTCCTTCATAGGAGCATCAATAAAAGCTAATAACTATGGTAACAACTTAACAAAAATAACTAAAAACCATTAGATTAGGTTCCCATTGCTTTTTGTACACAGAAAATGTTTATCCTTTTTCCCTTGTGCACATTAAAAATGTTCAAACGGTAATCATCACATAAAAGTTACTTTCTGATGGTGGGGTTGCAATCTCTCCATTTGATCATAGTTTCTCTTTAAACCATGTTTTACATTCATTAGGAATACTGGATGGCATAGAATACAACCTGTTCATCATTTCAGAGGTAGAAAAGTTAATTTACCTGTGAAATTCTAGGTTTTTGTAAATACTTCGATAAGAGCAAATATAAATAAGTTTAAAAAAGGTTATTTCAAACATTTATAAACAGAACAGTCACATACAACAAAGCATGCCAAAGACAGCTCAATATTTTGGTCAAAAGGAATGTGTATCCTTCTTCTAATATTTCTTTGCTTACATTTTATAAGGATTTACCACTCAAATACTTAAATGAAAACATCAAAGGTCACTTTTCTTGATTTTACATTAAATTTACTGTCAAGAACTACTTATCATCTCAATGTTGGTGCTATATGCATGCAAGTACCCCTTACAGTAGTTATACTCAGGTGTCTATTTGTCACCCCCATAAGTTAAGTATAATAAAACCACTGCGTAATCTCAAACATCCAAAACTTTGTGTAATATAGGTTTTCGTGTTCGGATGCAAATATAAAACATAAACTAGCAACACAATGAACAAGACACGACAAAGAACGAAAACCCACAGCAAACTTTAGCAAATTGCAACAGCAACCACCAGTGAGATGGTAAAAAATAAAAGACCGCAGATCAAAACTAGCTAAAGCAAGAAAAGAAAAAGGCCGAGACCCCACAGCCACATTTAGCATATTCTGATCGTAGCCCATCAACGAATAAGATGCAACGCAGAACAATAGGGTTCACCTGGGGAGATCATCCAAAGCCTCTGCCAGTTGAAACGATGCAATACGACCTTGGAGTCCTCGGTGACCATGGCAAGCAGATCTTTCTCCGGGTTCCACTCCGCGATATTGATCTGCGCCATCAGAGCAGCATCGCAAATCACGAGGGAGCAAGCAAGACGGGGGAAGGGCGCTAGGGTTTCAATCGATCAGCCGACCTGGAAGGGGATGGACTTGTCTAGTTGAAGCTGGAAGGGGACCGGCACGGCGCCGGCGGCGGTCTCCATCTCGACCTCTGCCTCCTCTGCCATGGTTCTCCGTGGGCTGGGGGAAGCGCGGGCGGGCGCCGGGACCGGAGTGGGAATGCGAGTGGGTTCTAGGTGAGGCTCGGAGGTCGTCGGATGGGCGATGTGCTTCTCCAGAGCGTTGGATGAGATGAAGACTTGGTTGGACGGGTCGCGTGGTTGGGTTCGTGCGACAGTGGGCTTTCTTTATAGCCGATTTCGGAAGCCATCGAACTTGTTCATCAATTGGACATTTGGAACGACGGAAGTGATCGGCACCAACTTGGCAGGGCATTTAATTATTTAGCATTTTGAACCCAATTAGAATGCCTACTTTGTTATTCGATCGTATTTCAAACTCAATTCAGAAATATGAAGATGCAATTGAGTGGGTTGATAGGGTATTGACGTTAAATGGTGAGGAAATAAATAAAAAATTAAATAGAAGAGAAGATAAAAATTAAGAAGGAAAAATAACAAGTAAAATTAGGAATATAAGGTTTGTAATACTCTAATTAATCCATCGGATAAAGAATTGAATGAGAAGGATAAGACCACCCAAGAAATTAATCATGCAGTCAAAATCACTTAAGTTTAAAACATTAGATATATATTGTGATATATATAAAGTGATATTCTGAATCAATTGAATTTAAAGTATTGATAATTAATTCTTCATATTTTTAATTTAAAGTAAATAAAAAAATTAATTTTTTTTAGAATAACTAAAAATCATATAGAAACTTCAAATTATAAGCCAATCTCGATAGCATAACCATTATAATTTTTAAAGAGAAAATTAAGTATAACTTTCTCTAGAAATTCAAATCAAAATTTATAAAAGCATTGAATTCCTAAATCAATAAATTTTTTAACGATGTATAACTCATGTCATAAATATCTTAAAATTTATATCAGAATAATATAAAATAAATATTAAAATTTTATTTTATTAAAAAGCTAAGATTCTAATATGACTATCTTGATTAAGACACTCATGTGCCAAATATTAAAAAGTATGACTTGCAACGATCACGGTAAGAGAAATTATCTCAAAATATCATAATGTTCATATTAGAATTTGAGTAACTAACTAGTTAAATATAAATCTAGTGAGGCATCAATTTTTCTACTCATTCATTCCAAACTCAACTATGAGTATTTGAAATTGAAGAAAGCCCATCGGAAACGCTCAATTATCTAAATAAATAAATGATAGGTAGTGCTGCTAAACTCTAAATAAATAAGATCTTCCATCCTGATTGGCATAAAATTCTCATGCTTTAATAAATAGAGGAGGAAAATTAAGTTTTATTTGTTAGTATATAGTGAAATATAAAATTACCTCTAGTCATGATTGTCGGAGAACAAACTTTTTGATGTAGAACAATGAGTATCTTTTAATCTTATTATTATTAGATTTAAGATTATTAAGATTATTATTAGATCTATAGTCTCGCTTGGTTGAGAATACTGTAGCTGTGGCTTCTCCCCAGGGCGATGATACTGTAGCGGCGATCAGAATACTGTAGCGGTGGCTTCTCCCTAGGGCAACGGCGTTGTAGCGACGATCAGGCTCCTACAGCGGCGTCTTCTCCCTAAGGCGACGGTACTGTAGCGGTTATCAGAATACTGTAGCGGCAGCTTCTCCCTAGGGCGACGGCACTATAGCGGCGATCTGGCTCTTGCAGCGGCATCTTCTCCCTAGGGCGATGGTACTATAGCGCGATCAGAATACTATAGCAACGGCTTCTCCCTAGGGCGACGACACTGTAGCGACAATCAGAATACTGTTGCGGCGGCTTCTCCCTAGGGCAACGGCACTGTAGCGGCAATCAGGCTCCGTAGCAGCATCTTCTCCCTAGGGCGACGATACTGTAGCGGCAATCAGACTACTATAACAGCAGATTCTCCCTAGGGCGACGGTACTGTAGCGGTGATCCTACAGCGGTGGCATCTCTCTGGCGACAATACTGTAGCGACGACCAAAGGAGGGATCAGACATGACAGCGATGGTCCTTGGGGCAGTTGCTCCTCCGCTATATTCTCTTCAGAGAAATGCTCCTTCGACAAAGCAGTATCGAAGCAGGTCGCGCTCTAGATCGCGGCATCCAGCCCTCATTTCCAGTGACCCTTGGCCTTGGACTAGCCTCTTCAAGGCTCCGGTTGGAAGTCCGAATCTTAGCCTAGAATTCTTTACTCCAGAAGTTCAAACTAACAAGAAGATTGCTGTATATGAGACAGTTGATTCTGCAGAGCTAATTGAGACATGGTCTATGGCGATTATTGGCTATGTGGTAGGTCTCAAAACATCATATTTTCCACTATCCTCATTTATCAAAACTCGATGGGGAATATCGGCATTTGACCTCCATATGTTGGAGAATGGTTTTTTTGTTTGCAAACTATACTCCGAAGAAGATTTGCAACGGATCCTGGAAGGGTTCTGGACTATTCGTGGCCATCCAATGATTCTACGACGTTGGTCTCCTGATGTCCGTCTAGAGTTAGACAGCCTATAGTCTATTCCATTATGGATATCCTTTCAAGGTCTTCCTCTACATCTTTGGAGTCGACGATTTATTGCAAAGTTATGCAGCACTTTGGGACAGCCACTCTACATCGACAAAGCAACAACAGCTCAGACGAGATTAGCATTTGCACAAGCATGTGTACTGGTTTCTTCCGATGAAGATCTTCTTAATGAGGTTTTTTACTGCGATCTTGATGGGAACACCCAGAAAGTACATGTCTCATATTCCTGGAAGCCACAACGATGTTAGAGTTGCTTATCTTTTGGCCATTCAAATGGAGCTTGTCAACAAACTCCGAAACCGATCACAAAGGTCTGTCGGCCACGCCAGGCGCCTCAGCAACAAGGCGAGTCTCCTCAAGTGGCAGTAGCACTGGTGGTGGCGAAGACTATTGAGCTTTCCGACACGCAGGGACAGCACTACGGACAGAAGGACAAATCCAAAATTTTATCTCTTCCTATTACGTCGAAGCCTTCCACAACAGAAGTTTCCCATGGTACTCGTGAACAGGAAAAACATATCAGGAACTTCATCTCTTCCTATATCATCGGATCCGTCGACAATTGGAATTCCAATATCCACTCATTGCACCAACCAAGACCTTGTGTCTCAACAAACTTAGGCCCAAACAATCCTCGCCAGCAAAGATATTCTTACTCAACAAACTCAAGCCACAACAAACCTCGCCAACAAGGATATTCTACCTCAACAAACTCATGCCCCAACCTCTCTAGCTAGGCTACCCCAACAAGTACTAACCAGCATATTGTGCCTCAACAATCCTATCACGCTTCAACAAACTCTCCTAACCATGACTACTTGACTCAAGGTATTTTAAAGTTTAAAAATCTGCAAGCTGTGGATGAAGTGGATAAATATAGAAATAAAGTCTTAAAAGGTAAAGATATTATGCGGGAGGAAAATGCAAAATCGAAGGATAAGAAAAAGGATGGAACTGTCCATCCAAAGTCATAGGATGAATACCCTACTACCTTTTTCATTTGTTATATTTCTGATGAAAATAACCTATTGGAATGTTCGTGGACTTAATAAGCCTGAAAAATATCGGGAGCTCAACAGAATAATCAAGTCTGCCAAATGTGATATTGTTATTCTAGTGGAAACAAAAATTAAACAATCGCGCGTTCAAGCTCAAAAGAATCTAATATGGCCGGATGCAGAACTGTTTACCAATGACTCTTATGAAACTTTTGGTAGAATATGGGTATTATGGCATCCTAACTCTATTAATGCTTGGTTTATTTCTGCTACTGATCAATTCATCCATCTTAAGATAGAGGACAAAAAGAATAGCTGTCAATTCAATTTCACTGGTATATATGCTTCAAACAGTATCCAAGAAAGAAATACACTGTAGACTGATCTAACTAACATTGCAGATGACTGTCTTAATGTACCTTGGATTGTTCTTGGTGACTTTAATACTGTTCGGTACACAAATGAAAAAGTGGGGGGTAGATAGCTTTTAGAAAGTCAGCTTCAAGGTTTTAATGATTACATAGATACTACTGCATTGACTGATATGAAATCCGTGGGTAATTGGCTCTCTTGGAGTAATCAAGGTGTTGCTAACAGAAAAATAATGGCTCGACCCGATAGATGTATGATTAATAGTTTACCCTGATTCACTTCTTGAGTATGATGCTCTATTGTTCTCTGATCATTCTTTAATGAACATACACGCAGATAAAGCAACACCAAAAGGTAAGAAACCGTTCAGATTCTTTAACATGTGGAGTACTCATCCTCAGTTCCTTGATGTTATCAAATCAGCTTGGAATGTTAATGTGCATAGATCCCCCTCTTACATCTTATGTCAAAAACTCAAAGCTTGCAAAGCAACACTTAAGGAGTGGAATACAAATACCTTTGGCAATATTACCTCCCGAGTTCAATTTTGCAGAAAGGAATTATTGGCAATGCAACATGAGCTGCAACTTCAGCCCCATGATGAGAATCTTATCGACAAAGAGACAAAAGCTAGAAATAACTTCATGCAAGCCTTAAAGCAGGAGGAAAGTTTTGCAAAACAGAAGTCTCAACAGCATTGGCTTACTTTAGGGGATTCCAATACTAAGTTTTTTTATGCTTCCATTGCTACTTGAAGAGCCGTTAACCGCATCAGGAAATGCAGAGACAAAGATAACAATCTTATTGAGAATTTAGATGAGGTTAAAGCATACAATGAGCAATTTTTTTATTCCTTAATCAACCAAGCGGGGCAACCTAATAATATTCACGTGGAGCCAACTAGAAAGCTTGATTCGGGTGCCATTTCTATCCTCAATGCCCCAATTATAGTTGACGAAATAGTAAGAGTTGTCTTTAAGTCACCAAAGCACAAAAGCCCTGGTCCAGACGGATTTCCTGTTAAATTTTACTAAATTACATGGTCAATTATTGGTAATGATGTGATTAAAGCTTGCCAACACTTTTTCTCTTCAGGTCATATTCTTAGAGAGATGAATTACACTTTTATTTCTTTAATTCCAAAAAATACAGGGGCTGATTCACTAGAGAACTATCGATCGATATCTTTATGTAACTTTATTTACAAGATCATCTCCAAAGTGTTAGTAGATAGATTGCAAAAGGTAATACACAAGATA